GGCTTATTGCTGTACCTTATAGTGCCTAGGAGGCTATTGAATTAAGTTCCGTTAAACACCTATTATCTATTTTATTTTAAAATTCTTTTAAAAATCTGTCATTAAAGTTAATCCTTACTAGGTTGACAGTGTCCTAGTACCCTTTCTATTATCTTTTATCTTAGTTTAGTCAATGTCTAGAAACTTTTTTAAAGCTCCCTATAAATATTGTGAAATCAATTTCTTATTCGAATATTGCAATAATACATACCCAATTGACCAAAGAGCAGAAGAAATCTATAACAAAGTTAGAACTATTATTCAATTATTATAAACTGGTTCTGCCTTAACTACCGAGGAAACAAAAATTTTATACCTCTATACTAAGCACTGTGGATTTAATTGGGCTAACGGATATAATCCTAAACCAAAACAACTCTGGGACGAAGATTATCAAATCGAACCTAACTTTGCTGAGCCTGCTCCTCCTATTACTTACTATTTAGAATTTCCAAATCCTGACAATCTTACAGGAACCATCTACAACTTACCACCTCAACCTCAACCAAACACTTTTTCTTATATTTACTATTCAAAGCACGATCTAAATAATTTAAAACTATACGAGAAAGAATTAAATAATCAAACATCAACTAAGGACGAATTAAATGACCTAGTTAAATTTCGACAAAACAAAGGCTTCTCTGTCTGGCTTTAAACAAAGTGTAAATGAATATTGAAACATATAAAAAGCAAATCCACGATCACGCATTCATCCACCAAACCAATAGATACTTAATTAGAAGAAAATTAGACTCTAATCCTGATCTTAGTTGTTTAATTTGTTATCCTATTTCAACTAGTATTACTCCTTCATCATTTCTTCGCTTCTGGGCTTGGTTCTCAAAACATTATAATGCATCGGCTTATAATAACAGAACACTATATTATTTTAATCAAGCTCATTTAAGTAAAATTAAAAAAGAGCAAATAACAGAAAATTTTGAAAAATTAATAACCTCTATCTGATATTATAATAATACTCCAAGCAAAGAGTTTGACCAAATAGTTACCAAAGTAAATTATAATTGGGAATTAAAGAAAGATTTTCTTGTCTCTGAAACTAATTCTGAAAATAGTCAAAATGATAATAGTTCTGAATCTGAATCTACAACAATGAGTCAAACAGGAAACAGACAACATAATGGATCTCAAAATGATAAAAGAGTAGAAATAATTAATCATATAGAAAATATAATCATAAATGAAGATAATTCACAACAAGGTGCTTGAGACACACTATTAGTAATATGAAGAGAGCCTAAACAAACAGATAATAATGGAGAACCCTCTTCAGCTGAATTAATACAACGACTAATTACTGAATTAGATCAAGTACTTAATAATAATGATAACCCTAAAGAAGCAAAACTTGTAGATTTACCTGTCTTTAAAGGAGGTGAAGAAGATCCTATTGCTTAGTTTGAAGCCTTTAATAATGCAGCTAGTGCAAATAATATTAATGATGAAAGAAAACTAAGAATAGTAGCTAATTATTTAAAAGAAATAGCTATTACTTGGTTCAATCGTTTTAAAATAGTTTTTAATAGCTGGAAAGATTATTCTACTGTATATAATATGAATCATTTATTCAAATACCAGTTCAAAAAACAATTCAGAAGTCCTCATCGAGTTACCCAATGGTTTTATACCCTAAGAAATAGAAAACAAAAACCTGGTGAAACTGTTGAATCTTATTTCTCTGCTCTAGAAGAACTATGGCGAAAAGTAGACCCAAATGTTAATTATCCTAATAAAGATAAAAGAAGACAATTTATGGATGGTCTACGTTCTGAATTTTATATTCCAGTTGAGTCTGCAATGCCAGATGATCTATTTGAAGCTGTTGAAAAAGCTAAAGCTGTTGAAGTAGCATATTCTAAAGGCAATACTCTCTCAGCCTACTCATTGCTACCTGCATCATATCAATCATCATTTTTTAATCATGCTATTCCTGCTGCTGAAAATGATATTAAAGCTTTAATAGCTGCCCAAACCAAGGAGTTTTTGACCAAAACAATTAAACAACTGAAGCCAATTAATGCAAATGTATCTTAGCAATCTACTAATAATAATAATCATCATCAAAATAATCAAAATAACAACCGAAACAACAGAAATAATCAACAAAACAATAACAATAATTGGCAACAAAATAATAATAGACCTAGAAACAACAATAACAACAATAATGCTTGTAACCGTTGTCAACGTCCTGGACATTTTGCACGTGAATGTCGAGCCCCATTTGTAATAATTGTAATAGAATTGATCATATGGCTAGAAATTGTCAAATGAACCAGAACTGGAGAAATAACAACAATAATAATTACCAACCGAATAGAAACTTTAACAACAATTATCAAAACCAAAACAACAACAGACCTCCCAATTATAACAATAATAATAATAATTTCAGACCACCTAACAACAATCAACAAGTAAACCCTCCAAACAATAATAATAATAACAATCAACAACCTGGTAACAACACTGATAACCAAAGGCAAAATTTCTTGAATTATTATGAAAATCATATCAATACTCAAAATAATAATGATAATAATTTTGCCAATCAAAGGACAAACTTTTTAAACTAGAAAAGACATCTTATGAGGGTAAGTATGTTGATAATTCAAAGCCCTCACCCATAGAACAATTACAAAACCTAAAAATAGAAATTATGAATTATTATAATAGTCTTACCAATGATAATAAACATATTAATAATAGAAACAATATAAATATTAGAACTAATACTCTCGATGAAGAAAATGATATTAACAATATCTGGTTGGAGAATGATAATGATGATGAAATAATTGAAATTAGAGGATTAAATCATAGCTTAGAACAAAAAGAATTAAAAGAAGAAGCTATACAAGATGCTCTATTCTCTATTGCTTATTTCTTTGGTCATGAAATCAATGTCCTTATTGATACTGAATCAAAAGGATGTGTAATTGCAAAACAATTTCTGGACAGAATAGGAAAACCAATAAATAGACCAAGTAATGTTCAAGTTGTTGACATTACTGGAAATAGAACAACCCCTTTAGGAAAAGTTAAAGATGTCCCTATCAACATAGGAATCAATGAAATCAGTATCGATATAATTGTTACTGAATTACAAGAATATAATGTGGTTCTAAGTAATAAATACTTAGATCTAGTAAAAATAGTCATTGATTATAGAACAGGTCTAATATTGATAGATGAAGGTGACAATATTGAATATGTCTCTATCACATGTTAAGAACGAATAGAAAAATCTACTCAGTTATATCCAATTAAATATAAACAATTAATTGATAAAGAATATGAATTGGAACTAGAAGAAGATGAAGAAGACCTAAACAATGATCGATA